TTTACCCTTCTTTTTTTAAATATGCCCGAAAATACTGAATATATGAAAAAAATAAAAATTACCAAATTGTAGCTTTTTTAATGACTAAAATTATCTTTTATTTAGATTTGTTGTACAATGAATATTTGGCGAGATATAGCCGTTTAAAGCATCGATTTACGATCAAGCACCATCTTTTTCGAGCCCTTTAAACTCACCCCATTTAAAAACCAAGGGTTCCAAAAAGGTTTAATTCACAGATCCTTGTAGCTATTAAAAACCTCTACAAATTGTTTTTGAAGAAACATCTATCGTTAAAAATTAAAGGAAATACGTTAAAAAAACCAGTTAATTTTTTTCCAGAAAATTCCATTAGTATAATACAGTACATTTCGGAGCATAATAATCTACAAAACCGGTATATTAGCTAGTGGGGCGTTATACATACGAAATTTTAAGCGTTCTTATTTTGAAATCCCATACAACAGAATAAAACATCTGCTCATATGTCTATGGCTTGGCAATGAAAATATCAGAGCAACAGATTGGGGATGGTTTTCCAAAGATGGTTTGTTATTACACGTACGCATGAACAAACAACCTACACCCGATAAATTTTTGAAAATTATTTTTTCCCAATGGAAAAAAGGATGCGGCGTTTCATATGGGTGCAGAAAAGTTGGTTTATACTGTAACTCTACTTGTTCTGGGTGCTCAGGTGAAGGGTGCAATAACAGTCCACCAATAATTGAGGAAGATGATGATGACATAGATCACGATGATGATGTAATTGATGACGAATAAAATTAATATTATAATTGTTTTACCTATAAATGTAAATATTTTTAACTATTTATGTAAATGTATAAGAATATATGGTGCCTTTTTATGTTGATAATTTTTTTTGTATTTAATTCTACTTTTTTCAATTTATATCTTATAAATTAGTTTATAAAAACTTCAATGTTGTAAAGGGTGATTTTCAAAAGTTGAAAAGTTGCAAAATTTTGCCAAAAAATTGTTTTCACCTATAGCACTCATAACAATTGATTTTTAAGGGTTGAAAATGTATGTATTTGTATTTTAAAGTATAAAAAACTCACTATTTAACTAATCCAAACCAAATTTCACTCATCTTAGGATTTTTAATATTATTTTACAATTTTTGAAAATTAGGGGTAGTTTTCACCCCTAAGAACAATCAGGGTTCATCGGCATGACATAAACTATAAAGCAGAGGGTGAGTTGAGCTTAATTCCAAATTTTTATGCAAGTCGTTTCAAGGTGAAATCATTTTCTTCGCATTACTAATTTTTTTATATTAATCTCTAATGAGGGTCGCTTTTTAAGGGTTGAAATATGATGGAACTTTATTGAAAAGCACGAAACTATCATTATTTAATTAATTCAAACCAAATTTTACCCATATTCAGGTTTAATATGTTATTTTATAATTTTTGACAATTAGGGGTAGTTTTCACCCCTAAGAACAATCAGGGTTCGTCGACATGACATAAACTATAAAGCAGCGGGTGAATTGAGCTTAAATCCAAATTTTTATCCAAATCGATACAAGGCGAAATCATTTTTTTAGAATTAGTAATTTTTTACATTAATCTCTAACAAGGGTTGCTTTTTAAGGGTTGAAATATGATGGAACTCTATTCAAAAGTATAAAATAATCATTATTTAATTAATTCAAACCAAATCTTACCCATATTCAGGTTTAATATGTTATTTTATAATTTTTGACAATTAGGGGTAGTTTTCACCCCTAAAACCCTTCAGCGCACTTCGGTTCGATATAGATTTTGATCCTTGGGCTATTACCTACCGTCTGCTAAAATTTTAACTGGATACATGCAGGACGAAAAAATTGCGAGGTTTTAACTTTTTTCGAGCTTCAATTCCTGAACTATTATTGCCTCCTTAGACAAACCCGTCTTACGCAAATAACTTTGTTGCGAGACAGACAGTTGAACGATATTTTATACAATGTCTATACCCAGGTATGGATTTATTTTTGTCCAGGTTTTATATTGGTCCACTATTTTAAATGCAGTTCAAACAGACATGTATTAAATTGTATGTTCCGTTTTAATTTGGTTCAATCTGTATATATATATATATATATATATATATATATATATATATATATATATATATATATATATATATATATACTAATATTTATTATTATATTAAATACTAATAAGGAAAAATTTTTTCAAAAGTCGTAATGTATTAAAATTGTAAAAAGAACTCTGCGCATCTGCGTATTAATTATAATTTGACATACATTCGCAATGTTACCACGTTTATAATTGCTTTATATGGAGTAAAAATGAACATGCTTTATATGGAGAACATATTTGAAATAATACATTGTAAGAATTTAAAATAAGAATATATAAGAATTTGAAATAAGAATATATAACTAACCTAACCCAACCTAACCTAACACAACCTAACCTAACCTAACACAACCTGACCTAACCCAACCTAACCTGATGAAACCTAACCTGATCAAACCTAATCTGATTAAACCTAACCCGATCAAACCTAAACTGATCAAACCTAACTCAACGCAACGAAAAATAAAATATTTTCTTTTTACAAAATAACATTTTCTTTATATTTTTACAAAATTTTGCAAGAAACAATATTTTTTGAAAATATGGCAACATTGATGGAAAAGTGACATGACATTAACAACAGCACAATCAAAATGGACTAAATATTTGAAAATTGATGTCAAAACACGCAATTTTTAAACGAGAATTTAAGAAAAAATATGCATTAAAATACAGAATCCGTCATTTTTAAAGTGAATAGTAAGCTATACATAACAAATATTTCAAATTTTAACTTGTATTCGCCTTCCCCTGTTACCCTTAGTATTACCTTCAGGGGAAAAATAATTTTAAACACACCATTTTTCTTTACTCTACTCCGTTGAAAGACGTTATGTATAGATTTTCAAACATAACATGACCTATAAGTTTATGATAGATACTCTCTACAAACTATGTATATCGCTTCATTAGATACAGTATTGTGTGAATTAATGGAATCACTGTGAATTTTTTTTCATTTTTTCAATATTCACAGTTGGCAACACTACCTACACAGTTGACAGCTGACCAAGCATTGAAAACATAACCTTACTGTGTGTTGGTGTGTTTGAGTGTGTTTTAGGTCATTTCTTACCAAGCTTGTGTTGTTTTGGGGGTTTTTGTACTATTTTGTGTTGTTTTTGGTTTTATTCCAACATGGATATTACGCCTAGGAAGCGTGAAAAGATTGTCACGTTGAGTGAACACACTAGTATGTCACAAAGAGAGATTGCTAGAACGTGTGGAGTGAGTCAGGGGGTAGTAAGCAAAATTTTGAAGCGTAAACGAGAAACGGGATCAGTGGATGTGAAAAGGTTAGGAAAATGTGGAAGAAAGAGAAAAACAACACCAGCAGATGATAGATTTTTACTTCGAAAGAGCAAAGTGGACCCAAGAAAATCAAGCCAAGACCAACAACAAGATCTAGCAGCATCAGCTATAGTGATTCATGACTCAACTGTTCGTAGAAGACTTTTGGAGAATGGTAGAAGGGCAATTCGTCCACAGAAAAAACAGCTTCTAACTGAACGAATGAAGAAACAAAGGCTACTGTGGGCCAAAAAATACTCTAATTGGACTGTAGGCGACTGGAAAAAAGTCCTATTTACAGATGAAACCCACTTTATAGTTCAGGGACAGCGGTCGAAATTCGTCAGGAAGTCTGACAATGAAAAGCTTACACCATCTCATATTGATCAAACCGTAAAACATCCAGTCAAGAAAATGTTTTGGGGATGTTTTTCATACATGGGGGTTGGATCTTTGGTGCCAATTGAAGGCATGATGAACAGCCAAAAATACAAATCCATGTTGGAAAAGTATTTGGACAAACAACTCCAAAAATGTCAACCCCAAGGAGGAGCGGTTCTTCAACAGGACTCTGCTCCCTGTCACAAATCAAAGGAAATGATGGCATTTTTAAAAAATAAGAAGATTAATGTTTTAGATTGGCCCGGTAATTCGCCCGACCTCAATCCCATTGAAAATTTATGGGCCATTTGCAAAGCTAGACTGCGAAAAATCGACTGTACCACTCAAACAAAAATGATAGAAGCGGCCATTCAGGTTTGGTATCGAGATGAAAGGATATCTGACAACTGCCAGAAACTCATAGAATCTATGCCAAAACGGGTAAAAGCAGTAATTGCTGCCAAAGGGGGACATATTTCCTACTGAATGATGTAAGTTTACCTTTATAGTTTTGTCAAAATATAATTTTTTACTAAATAAACTGTTTTTTCATTAAAACAGCCTATGATTCCATTAATTCGCACAATACTGTAGAATCTCACAAAGTTTCCCTCTAAATTTTCTGACTTTTCTTCTGATTTTCCCGAAACATTCCCGAAAGATAGAGAGCAATTTGCTGTAGTTATAGTCAACCTTCAGTAATGAAGAAGGTATAACCCGACAACCGAGAACTGGCGGGTTGCGCGTAGAACAAATTGAAAAGTGGAAGGGATTGCTTATTTCTATTGCAGTCGGCTAGGAGTTCACATCGTGTATAACCGTTTAAGTACCTATACTATATACCTATAATCGCGATTAAGTACCTCTCCTATCTCTCTTAGAATAATTCCTTTTCTATTTTCGCGCAGCTCACCCGCCAGCTCTCGCTTGTCGGATTATACCTTAAGAAGATTTAATATGGTTTTCAACGTATTTTCGTGCGGAAGTTTTGTATTAATTACTTAATTAATTAAGTAAAAACGGTTTAATTTATTGTTAAATATTCGAGGTTTCAATTTCACTTTCTCTTTACAAAAAGGTAAGCCCTCTTATTATCTTTTGCTTCTTAAAGATCTAAGGTTTGTTAAACTTCTCTTTCTATTTACAAACAGATAAGTAACGACTTCTTCCTCTATTTTTCTTATCTGTGATAATTTGTTAGTCTGTAGTAAAACCCATAGCTTGCTTGCACTCTGCAAACGATCTAGTCGTTCGCATTATATCAATAATTATTAGTAACCTTTGTAGCCAAATCAAATTAAAAGGTTACCACATTATCGGGGGTTTGCAGTTTATCCAGAGCCATTGACGTGTGTGTACAGTACAAGCCGATGCAAATAATATCTTTCTTATTTGTGAATAGTTTATTATCTGTGCAGAGTTTGAGTTTGAATTAATTTAATAAAATAATGACTTCCCAATATATTGAACTAAAGAGTGATACAAAACATCTAGTTCCTGGTAGGTACTTTATTATTAGTGGCTGGAAATATTTTATTTAATTCATTATTAAACATACATTTATATCAAAGTCCATCGACTGTTAACCAAAGATTTCTACATTTTACAATATTTTAGTGTCTAAATATCTAAACAATGTTTATTTGCTTTTCTTCCTAAAGTACTGTGTGCCTGCTCATTATGATTAAACTGACTTTATAACGTCTTGTTTTCTTTGTTTCATAATAAAATTTAATTATAATTATGTTAGCTATATATAAATTTACATTACATTACATTTAATGTAATGGATAACATTTAATTGATCTTCTACAAAAACATTTATATTTCATCCTCAGATATACTAGCTAGTTTTGACATTGTTTCTTTATTTACCAACACTCCTACTGATAGAACCATTTCCATCTTGGACTCTATATATCAAATAACAATAATAAGAACAATAAATTACCTTTATTTAGTCTGTAAAAATCTACAAACACGAGATACATGAGCCGAAGTTTAGCTAGAGCTACTCCACTTAACCTCAAGTTTACAAAGTTAGTTTGAAATAATTAGAAAATGATAGAAATAGTCATGTGGCTACTAAAAAAATAATTTGTGATGTTATGTGATAAATGATATGAATGATAAACAAAAATATACTAATTGATGGATTCGACCGTTACTTGATGGAAATTCATTTTATGTAACAATGAAACACTGAAAACTTTGTTTTCAAACTTCCACAAAATTTATTTTAACTATTATCACTACAGCAGTTTCGGCTGATAGCCTTTCTCAAGTGATCTATTTTTGGCTTGGGTTTACAAATTTATAGTCTCTAATGAAATAGGTTGAGGAGGGGAGAACTGTTTGTCTCAAGTTGGTCACAATTATATCTGTGTTTTTTAATTTGTTGATTTCCATAGATTCTAACAAAGATAACTTAAGGCCTTTATTTTGAATGTGAAGAATTTTAAATTTGTCATTAAAAGAATGATTATGATCTAGAAGGTGAAGTGCGTATGTCGAATCTGTTTTTCTATTCTTGAAATCTTGAACTCCTGATCTTTGCCTGATTTGTTGGTTTTTTATGTGGTCTCGAAGGCTCACGTTCAGCATTGCACGTTCCATGGCTCGTTGTGTAACTCTCGAGTTTATTCGCAGATTTTTGCGTGAGTGATAAAGTCTCTCTTCCATAAGTTTGTACAGGTAAAACACATTGGTTATAAACCTTTCGCTTGAGACATATGGGAATTGAACTTTTTAGAATATGGTTTAATTTGCCAAATGCTGCCCATGTTAGGCCTATTCGCCTCTGTATTTCATGTGTTTGATTGTCTCTGCTTATTTTGATTTCGTGTCCCAGATATTTGTAAGTGCCTGTTTGTTGTATGGTATTGTCAATAGTTATATTTCCACTCATTACGAGATTTGTTATAAGTTTAGTTTTCTCAAAGTTTATCTTTAATCCTGTTCTTTCAGACAGACTTTTAAGCGAATGCATCATAGAAACTGTATCTTGTAAATTATCTGCGATTAATACAACATCATCTGCAAATCTTAGGTGATTTAATGTTTCTCCATCTATATTGATGCCCATATCTTGCCATTGAGTGCTCTTAAATATTGACTCTAGAGCTGCCGTGAACAATTGTCTCCTTGTCTAACTCGTGAAATATTGTCTCCTTGTCTAACTCTTCGACCTAAGCTGAATTTTTCTGTGTCTTCGTGTAGTCGTATACTTGATGTAGCGTTCTCGTAGATGTTTTGATTAGTGTCGTGTACCTGTAATCTATTCGGCTTTGGTTTAGGGCTTCCAGTATTGTTTCAAACTCTACAGAATCAAAAGCCTTCTCGTAATCGACAAACGCAAGAACCAGTGGTGTGTTGTACTCGATGCACTTTTCTATTAAGATCTTTATGGTATGCAAATGGTCATTTGTGCCATATCCTGCCCTGAAGCCTGCCTGTTTTTTGGGCTGATAGAAGTCAAGTTTAGGTGTTAGCCTCTTTGTTAAGATTTTCATAAAGAGTTTGTACATATGTGTCAAGAGGCTGATGGGTCTATAATTTGCTAATTTAGTAATATCGCCCTTTTTGTATAACAAGACTATTACTGCATTGTTCCAGTCTTTTGGAATTATACGCGCATGTAAGCATTTATTAAACAGTTCGCTTACTGATTTTAATAAAATTTCTCCTCCTGCTTTTATTGCCTCGATAACGAGTCCATCATCACCAGGCGATCGATGGTTCTTCATTTCCTTTAAAGCTGCTCTTACTTCTGACACAGTAATGGGTAAAAGTATTTCCGATCCCTGATTTATGGGAGTCTTTACTCGTGTCGGGAAATTGTCTTGTGGTCTTTGGCTGGTATAGAGGTCTTTATAAAAGTCTCTGGTTATTTTCAAAATGTTTTGTTTATCTGTTGTTGCCTTTCCGTCTTTATCTCTCAGCTTGTATATTTCTTTTTTACTTTGTGTGAGTTTTCTTTTCATTATCTTTAAACCTTTGTTCTCTTCTACTGTTTGAGTAATTACATTAGTATTATATCTTCTTAAATCTTTTCAAATTTCCGCTGAAATTCTTTTATTTAGTTTTTTATATTCTTCTTTGTTTCCCTTTTCGTTCTCGCTTAGGTTTCGTCGTATTTCCATGAGAGCTTTTGTATTTTTGCTAATCTTTTCACTTTTGGCGCTAATAGCTATTGTAAAATATTTCGGTGTCACATACGATACCAGAGTATAATTCCCGTTATAATTTTGAATATAGAAGTAAATGGCTTCAACAAGCAAAGCTCAGGCTGAGTTAGAAGAAATTGTAAAAGATGTCCCTTTAAATAATACAGAATCTGAATGTTTGAGTGAGGATGAAGACAAAGAACTTAAGTGAAAGTGAACATTCTGATACCATTTTAGCAGAACCAGAATTTAGTGAAGAGGAGAATGAAGATTTGCAGCAAGATAGCGATAAAAAAAGAAAATTCGCACAGTCACCCAATACGTTCTCTTTGCCCACCCAATATGCAAAAATCTCTATGGCACCAATAGAAATGTCACCATGGATACTTGGTTTTCGTTCTCAGATCTTGCAGAAAAGTTTTTACAAAAAAAGTTGACAATGGTTGGAACCTTAAGAAAAAACAAGTCTGACATTCCGCCAGAATTTCTTAAAAACAAAAAAATTGTGCCAATTTCTGACTTTGCTTTTGACGAGAATAAGACGTTGGTATCATTTTCTCAAAAACTAAAAAAAATTGTTCTGTTGTTGTCAACATTTCATACTTATGGTGTAATTGATGAAGACACTAGCAAGCCCGAGATTGTCTTGTGTTATAGGTAACTCTACAAAAGGAGGAGTAGACACTATAGATCAGTTGTGTCATTTTAAATTCGTGTCTAGAAAAACTCGTCGCTGGCCTCTTAGAGCTTTTTATGGCATGCTTGATGGTGCAGGTATTAATGCTTATGTTATTTATAGCGCAAATAGAACCAAATGAGATTCAAATTTAAAAATTACTCCCAGGAAAGATTTTCTTCTGCATTTAGCACTACAGTTGGTGACTCCGCAACTAAAAAGATATTAGAAATACCAACTTTGTCCAGATTTTTGCGCTCCATGATTTTGGATGTTCTTGGCTAACTCAACCTCCAACCCACAAAAGATGTCAAGTTTGCCCTCGATCTGCCAACAGAAAAGGTAGAGACCTGTGCGTTCGCTGTAAAGCTTGGCTGTGTGCCGAACACAGAAGACCAATCTGTCCAACTTGTACCAAAAAAATTTGATTTTTTTTGTTATAAACATGTTCCTTTCTACTTCTTTAGAAAGAGTCTTTTTTATAACCTTGCACAATAAAAAATGTAAAAAATAACCTTGCACAATAAAAAACGTAAAAAATACGTATGTTTTTGATTTCTTAGTATAAATTTAAAAAATGTCTGGTGTCGTATATGACACCACGGTACCACTAATTACCTAAAAAATATCGATACCATTCTAGGGTTAATATTGAATGCTATTTCTGAAAAAATAGTGTGTGTACCCCATAGTAAACACACATTTCCGAACTTCGATACTTGTTGGCCTTGGTTTGTAGAAAATGTATTGTTTTTATTACTAGATACACGGTATACTATTTTCAAACTTATCCTCTGCTGTAGTTTCTATCTGTCAAATAAAAGGGATATAAAAAGGCTAAATATTAATAGCATTAACCAAGACAAAAAAAGTAAATATATAAAAACATGGATCAAAATAAAATTCAAAAACAAGTGTGTTCAAATATTTTTATACATATTGATGATGTAATTCAAGTAACTCGTTTGAGATTTCTAGTTTTTTTTGCGTTCGCCCGTCCTAAATACCATAAAACGAAGATCTAAAATTAAATCGACCAAGCCCACGAGTACAGTGCAGACAAAAGATTTTATAACCTAGTTCTTCGTGCACGCAAAAAATTCATTTAAGTTAAAGCTAGTCAGAGATATACAGAGATATGATACTGGTATACAGAGGATCCAGTAAAGTGTTGCTCACATTATACACTCTATGTGTGTTTATATTGTGTTAAAGTCCTTTTACCCTATGACGGCCGATATGCAATTTAAATAATATGATCAGTGGGTCGTTAATATTAATTTAGATCGCTTGAAAAGTAAAAATATTTAAAAAAATTATTAAAATCCTTTGTAAAATGTATATATTTAAAGCCCAATCAGGCTATGTTAGACAAAACGTCTAGACACTGATGATGGAATATGGATTACATGATGTAATATGGATTCCGAAAACGTTTTGTCTAACATAGCCCGATGGGCCTTTTTTTTAATATATGGTATTTAAAATTTTTTTAATATATGGTATACAGCCAACTACAGGAACGTAGATTCCTTGTGGATTTTAAAAATATTTAATTTCCTGTATTTTATGTTCAGTAACAATATTGGATTTCACTGTATTAAAGGAAAATTAAATTGAATATATTATGTATATATTCTTCTTCTTCGCGTGCCATA